CCTTAGAGTCCTGGGTGTGCTTCGGCTGTCAAAACCCAGGACTCCCACTTACTGACAGCAGGTTAGAGCTTAGGCGGTGCTCGGTGAGTGGTCCCTTCACTAGGGTGGGGCCGCTGGTGGGCAGAAACTGAGGGGGATTATTGCACCCAGGAGCCAGATACTCTGCACATTAGCCCTACAGTGATGGGCCATGTGAGCCAAGTGACGTGGAGATACCAGGCAGGCCCTGGCAGGGGAGCCCTCACTTTAGATGGGACCTGAGGGACTGATGGGCAGGAATGGAAGCAGGAACAGAACTGGAGCCTGAGTCCAGGCCTGTGCGCACCTGCCGTGAACCAGCCCCACCCAGCCATCCAGAGAACACACACAGGAGCACCCTCCACATCCAGCCCCAACGGTCCTGGGGCTCTCTGACCACTGGGGTCCTTCAGTTTAGAGGATTCTGATAACACCCTGGGGTACCACCCAAGGTGGCACCTGCCCAAATTCATAGCCAGAATATTAGGATCTGTGCCCACGTTCCCACCAGCCTTATTAATCCTGGGTTTTGGGGACTGCCTTCTGCTCACCCAAATCCCACTTGAATGGAATTTTCCTGGTCTGTACTCTTTTGGCCCTCAGCAGGCTATAGGCACGGTGCCACTGTCCACAGAGGGCTGTCTCCTGGTCAGGGCTTTTAGGGCAGGATAAGGGAGCTGAGGCTCACATTGACTGAACAACTTAGCCAAGGTCCCAGCTAGGAAGAGGCTGGGCTAGAAATTTTGTGGGAGGTGTCTGCTGCAGTTACCACATTTTGCCTTGGTCTGGCAAGAGCATTGGAAGAGTCTCAAATTCAGATGATGAAGTTCACATCTTAGCATTCTTGTTGCAGGTTGCTGTGTGAGTTAGGGGAAATGACTTCACCTCTCTGGGCCCCAGTTTCCTCATCTGTGAAATACTGCCTACTGTGAGTGTTAAATGAGGCAGTACAGGACATAGGAGCTCCCAGCAGTTTCAGGCATGTAGGTTGCTGTGTGTATGTTGGTTATTATCATCATCATTATCTCTAACCTCCTGGGTCTCCTGGACTACATTGCATCTAATTTTTTTTTTTTACAACAATGGGGGTATTTGGGGTCATCTTTTTGATTCCAGATGGCAGACTGGGTCACAGTGCATCTTGATACCTCTAATCTGTAACACATTAGGTCATATAAGTTGTTTCCTTAAAAGGTGATCATGGACAGGGGTCTGCTTATGAGAAGGTACGGCCAACTCTTTGGGCTTTGATTTCTTCCTTGCTGGAGGCCTCGGCCCCTGACCTTCTTTCAGTTCAACTGTGATTCTCTCTGGTGGGTTCCCAGTGGAGGTTGGGTCTCCCGGCTCTCCTCTCCTTATTCACTATCAGTGAAGTAAGAGGTGACACTTTTGGCATTAAGTGAAGTCAATGCCAAGGGCTTCGGGGTGATTGGGAACGAGGAAGGGGGAAACAGGGGTCACTGAGGTGAGTTACAAGGAAGCATCTCAGGCATATGGACAGCCGGACAGGCAGTCAGATGGACAGATGTGAGGCGTCTAAGAGACCTCATTTGGCTAGTTGATTGCTTTCTTTTCTCTACAAGAACAGCTTCACAAGACTCTTCCTCATGAGGCTGTGAGAGCGGAGGAGCCTGGTCTTGAATTTCTCTGCAGCCCCTTCCTGCCTGGAGCACTGACTGACATTGATCCAGACCATCTTTGTTCAGACAAAGGATTGTTTAATGCTTGCTGACTAGTTATTGAAAGGAAATTTGTGATTTCTGGGACCCAGACCTGAGTCTGTTTTGCTAGAGGAAGTGCACAACATGTGTGTACACACACACACACACACACACACACACACGCACACGCATACCTGCTATAGATTTTGAGGTTATTTTGTTGTTTCTGCTATGTGTCATCATCTCCTTACTCCCTGCGTGTCTTTCAGTTTGGGACCTGTTCTTTTATCCCCACACACTCCCAGGTTACTCTTACGTACCTGGATTTTGCAGTGGGAAACGTCCGATTCTGTATGTTCTGTATGTTCCATTGTGTAGAGATGGGGATAGAAGACAAGCTGAGTTGCCTGCTGCCTTCCCCAGGTTGACCTGCCCAGTCTTCTTGGCGCTGGCCACCCCTGGGGTCACCCAGAGAGCACCATGTGCATCTCTGTGGCTCTGAGCACCTTCCCCCCTCAGCTCTGCAGGAACTTGGGAATGAGGGGAGGGGCTTCTGTCATGTCAGCCTTGGTCTGCAGGATATGGGATACCAGATCTACTGCCCTAGGGTCATCAGGCCACAGCAACAGTTGTGTTAGCACCAACTCCTAGGTGCAGGAGCTCTGTATATTCTCTTCCTCTGTGCAATCTCTAGTATTTCTGTGGCTGAGAGTCTCTCTCTTTCTTTGTACCATTCACCCTTAATCTCCCTCCCACTCTCATCTTCTGTCCTGTCCAGCATTGGACGTCTGATTGGAAGTAACATACATATATATATATCTGTCGATGCTACTCCTTATAGAGAATGATTAAAACTTTAGTTGCCCATCTCCCCAGCATATTCCATACATCTTCCATGTCTCAGGCAGTAAGCCAGGTTAGAGAGAGATTTTTTTAAGACAAAGTCTATCACCCTGGAGTTGAAAGACCAACAAAAATAATGCTGATTTTCTTAATAATGACTGTATTCCTATTTTCTGCCTGTGGTGAGCACAGGAGAGGTGAATCATTGTAAGCCGGGCGAGGTTAGAGACCTGGGCTTGTTGGGAAGGAGAGTCCTGGGTGGGTTCTGCAGAAACAGCCTGGTTGAGTGAAAACTCTGGAAGCTTGGCCAGTGGTGATTAGGAATGTGTAAGATGGAACAGAGGAGCAGAAGGGAGGATGGAGGGGCCAACCAGACAGACTGAGTCTTTTCATTAGAAGTTACACCAAATTTTCACAGGGCTCTCAAAGGCTGGTCTCCCTTGATCCACGCAGAGCTAGCTATGGTGAGGATTTTTCTGACAGTTTAAAGATGAAGAAACATGAGCTATGTGCCCAGGGCAACGTGTCCAATGTGTGGCAGAGCACTTCTCGCTTCTGAAAAACCTGCAGGATATACTGAATGGCCACCTTGACTCATGAAGAGGCAAGGATCAGCCCCCTTCCCATCCCCCCTTGTACTCCTCCCGTTCCCCTGAGGCTCCCATGTTTCTCATTTCACCAGGGGGCCCTGTCTGCTCTGGCCAAGAGGCCTGACTCCCAACTCAGGCTTGACTACAGTGCGACCCAGTGGTCTGTGGGTGCAGAAGACGGTGCTGGTACAGTGCACTCTGGCCTTTTTGCTTCTTAATTTCAAGGGCCAGAAGCTGTTGAAAACAAAGGAGCAAAGAAACCAGCCCCAGGAGTGAGTGCTCAGAGTAGGGGGGTGAGGAAGGTGTGTGTGCTCACATGTATGGGCGGTGAGTAATGGGCTGAGGAGGAGCAGCTGACAGCCTGCCAGGCTCAGGACGGCTGCCAGGGGGCTCTGAGGGACCTTCCCAGTGCCCTCCTCTCTCGGATCACCACACAGTAAATGAGATGATTCCCGCAGACTGCCCAGGAGCCCGTCAATATCCATTCTAATCTCCCTGGCAGCCCCAGAGGTGAATTTACAGCGATGTGGTAAAAATGAGGCTGCATGATCAATGCATCTCTGGACGGTCTCTTCCAGGAGACACAAATGTATATTGCAACAAAACTTTATTTTCTCCCGAAAATTGCCTACATGATTAATATGGCCGACACAGGCCAAGCTGTTCAGCATAAAAAACAGCCACATTTCTTGCTCCATCTTCCTGCTTCACTAACTCCATTCCTTCCTCTCGTTGCGTGTGTTTTGCTCTCACACTTTGTGCTCTACAGGGGGAAGGGGAATGTGAGATCTGGATTCCAGTCCACGTTGTTTCTTCTTGGTATTTCCAGTGTGGCTCAGACTAAGCATGGAACCCAATGCCCGGTGTGTGGGTGCTCCTGGGACTGAGCCACGCAGAGCACGTTCTCTGGGCATTCCGCCATCTCTAACGTCACCAGCTCTCTGCCCCCGAGTCCAGACTGGATGAAAAGGACTCTCCCCTTGCGCCCTGTCTTTGGGATGGGGGAGTGGCTAGATCATAAGAGGGAGGACCTCTGAGGCAGGTGGTACCACTTCCTGTCCTCACGGAGGTTTTAGGAAGAAGAGATGGGGTGTGTCAGGCAGCACACTCCTACCTACACAGGCTGAGGACCCGCTTCCTTGATTATGATTATTTGCATGTGTGTTTTATGTCTCCTAGAGTGTAAGCTCCGTGAGAGCAGGGGTCTCCTGTAGATCTCTTAGTATGGGTTCCCCAGACACTGACCCTGAGACAAAGAGGTGAGTGCATTAGTCTATTTGGGAAGTAGAGAGGGGACTGGGGATATAGGACTGGGAAGGGAAGGCATCCCCAAAGGGGGCGTCATGCAGATTGTTACTGTGTGTGACAGGAACTTCATCTCAGGAGGACCCTGGGAGCCAGTGTAAAACCCACCCCTCAGAGTCAACCTGCTCCAGAGCTGAGGGAGTTGAGTGTTTATGCATCAACCCCCAGCATCTCTGGATGAGAGCTGCTGGGGGTGGGTAACTGCTTAGGTGGCATTGTAACTGGTGAGCCCCAGACAAGGAAGTGCAGGTGCCTGGAATGGACAGTTGGACAGGTGGGCACTGACAAAACCAGGGGGTACATGTGGGCACAGTAGCCTGTGGTCTGGCAGATGTGTGCCCAAGACTGGTGCTTCCCATTCGCACAGGGTGGTGAATTTGGGATAAATGGGGCTGGATCCCTTAACCCTCTCCTCCTTAGGTTTTTATTCTCAGCTCTTAACCAAGAGAACCAATTGGTACAGGGAACCAGTGGTTCACGCCTCGGAGGACGTGTACGAGGACTGGGCGGACGTCCTTATTGTGTCCAGCACAGCACGTGTGTCCCTCCTTCCTGACGTGGCTCTCCCTGCTCTCCTCCCCAGGTGTAAGGAGCTGAAGTACTCCAAGGAGCTGCCCCAGATCTCCATCATTTTTATCTTCGTGAACGAGGCCCTGTCGGTGATCCTGCGGTCGGTCCACAGCGCGGTCAACCACACGCCCACACACCTGCTGAAGGAGATCATCCTGGTGGATGACAACAGCGACGAAGGTATGGGGTGGCCGGCCCGGGGGTTCCTTAGAGAGGAAGAAGCAAACTCACAATCTCAGCAGGGGAAATGCCCCTTCATTCCAGTACCAGCCCAAGTGTCTCTGTCTTCTGTTCCTGGGGCGTATCCAGGGAATGGGGGAAGTTTGGAGGAGGAAGTCCAGGCAAACACTGGTTCACTAGTCCATGAGTCCTCTAGGGCTCTGAGAGTAAGCGACTGGTGATGTATCTAGACCAGCCGTGGGCAAACTAAAAAAAAAAAGAGACCGTACCCTTTTATGTAATGATGTTTACTTTGAATTTATATTAGTTCACACAAACACTCCAACCATGTTTTTGTTCCGGCCCTCCAGTCCAGTTTAAGAACCCATTGTGGCCCTCGAGTCAAAAAGTTTGCCCACCCCTGATCTAGACTAACCTTAATTTCCCCTCTTCTTATTAATAAAGGAATTAATACTTCGAAGGGCTGAATTTCTCCACACACCCCCTTTCCCAGGAGGCAAAAGAACAAGGGAAATTCTGTCCTGTGATGGGAAGTCCTCCCACCTCAGAATTTCCCTCTGGGCCACTGTGCCCACAATGACTGTGGATAGAAATGAGCAGAGCTTGCAGGCCTTTTGGAGTTGAGCTCTGTTGGGAATGGTGGCTTAGTTTAAAAACATAAAACAAGCAAATACTGGATGGCAGCAGCAGAAGTTCTTTGAGGTCCTTGGAGATGAGAACCTGGTGTTGAGGTGGTGGGGGGTTGGTTTGGCTCATTGTGCCTTTGTGTTGGCGTGAAGCCTGCAGAATCCACTGTGCTCACTGCAGGGAGAGAACCCACAGCAGGTGACAGACAGAAAGCCAGCCAGGAGGCTTATCTTCTGAGCAACTGTAGGATTAAGGGGCAGCTGAACACTTTGCTCTCAGCACACTGAGTACAGACGGGTCATCCTATGAGCTCCTGGTTGGGAGAGGCAGGACGAGCCACAGGGTCTGTTTGAAACCTGATTATCTTGGGGCTCTCCGGGTGACCCTATCACATTTGATTGGTTCAAGGGCTAAAGTCCCCCTGCCCCTTCTGAACCGGCATTATAGCACTGTGCCCTCAGGGCACTACTCTTTGGTGGGGGGTCCTCTAGATTTGGAGGACAGATGGGTCATTTGCTGAATTTTTCACATCCCTATTTTTCTTTCCTGACCTCTGGCCATTTCATTATCTATAGATTCTTTTAAAACTGACATTGAGCCCCGACCTATGAACCAGGAGATCTTGGTTTGATTCCTGATTAGGGCACATGCCTGGGTTGTGGGCTCAATCCCCAGTAGGGGGTGTGCAGGAGGCAACCGTCAATGATTCTCTCTCATCATTGATGTTTCTATTTCCCTCTCCCTTCCTCTCTGAAATCAATAAAATAAATTTTTAAAAAACTGACATTAAGAGTCTTGCTGAGAGAAGGAGGCTTGCCGTTTCTTGAAGCCTGTAAGTCATCTGGCAGAGCTCTGCCTGGCTGGCTCACAGCGTACCTCTGCAGCTGCTCTGTGCACCCAGGCAGACCTCTTGCTTCAGCAGGACTTTCAGGCCCCTGCAGGGAGTCTCTGCTACTACCCACCCTCCTCACTCCTGGCTAGGTCCCACTCCTTCCCCGGGTCTCCCATGTGTGTCACACCCTCCGAGACTTTGCTGACATCCTAAGTCCCTGCTCTGTACTGCTGTGACACCCTGTACCCTACTGGAGCCCGTGATACCACCGTGACCTGCATCTCCTCACTCCACATTCTGGGCAGGACTTTGTCCCGCAGGCCTGGCCGGTTGCTGACCCGTGGTTAAGGGGCTAGCGGCGGAGTGGCTGGAAGTGCCACTCAGAAGAGCTGGCCAACCCAGAGGAGAGAGGGAACTGAGAACGGGGTGAGGACCCACTGCCGATGGGGCTCCCTCTCCCACAAAAATCTCTGCAGAGCCCAGCCAGAGAGGAGGGAATGGCGTCTCTAATAGATGCCTTAGCTTAGGTTCCTCCAGATGCAGACCCTGAGACAGAGTTGAATGCATTAGCTTATTTGGGAGGTCGAGAGGGGACCAGGGAAGTAGGACAGGGGAGGGAAGGCACCCTCAAAGGGGGTGTCATGCAGATTGTTACTGTGGGTGACAGGAGCTTCATCCCAGGGGGACTCTGGAGCGAGTGTAAAAGCCACCGCTCAGAGTTAACCCGCTCCAGGGCGGAGGGAGCCAGGGTGTCTATACACCCTTAGCATCAGATGCTTTCCCCTGGGAACCTTCTGGAACCCCACCCTGAAGGATGTTCAGTTTCAGGAGTTCAGGGGTGGGGCAAAGGGATTTGCATTTCTTACAGACTCCTGGGTGATTCCCCTGGTGCAGGGACCACACTTGGAAAACCACTGAGTTAAGTACCGTTCCAGTGGTTCACACTTCAGGTTTCATGAAGATGGTCAGTGGGTGAGAACAAGCAGGAAGAGGTATTTGGTCCATTCTGACCATAACCTTAACTCCCATTCATCTTTCCCTGTCCTCCCCAGTACCTAAGGCAGGGTGGGAAACCTTTTTTCTGCCAACAGCCATATGGATATTTATAATATCACTAGTGGCCCGGTACATGAAATTCATGCACATTAAAAAGGGATTAATTATTTGCCGAAACCGGTTTGGCTCAGTGGATAGAGCATCGGCCTGCGGACTGAAGGGTCCCAGGTTCGATTCTGGTCAAGGGCATATACCTGGGTTTCAGGCACATCCCCAGTGGGAGATGTGCAGGAGGCAGCTGATCAATGTTTCTCTCTCATCGATGTTTCTAACTCTCTATCTCTCTCCCTTCCTCTCTGTAAAAAAACCAATAAAATATATATTTTTAAAAAAGGGATTAATTAGAGGAAATATTTTAATATTGCTATTTTCCCTTTCTCTATGATAAAAGTGTCAGAGATGAAAGAAAATTAGTAAAATGTATATAAAAATCTCCCTCTTGTCAGAGTCTGGGGCGCATCATGGGACCCAGAATCGAGTCCCTGCCCACCTGTATGCACCTCGAAATCGCGCGAGACCCAGATCTGGCTGGCCCCACCACCGTCAAGCCCCATAGGGCGGGGGGCGGGGGGGCGCAGCCTCAGGTCCCCTGTCAAGCACCGCTGGGTGGGGGGTGCAGTGGGCGTGACAATCATTTGTATTATTAGCTCTTGATTATATAGGATTCCAGGGTCATGCAAAATTATCAACTTAAAATGTATTAGCCTGTTATATTTGGTCAAACATTTAATTAACTCGGCCCTAATGCCTTGGCAAAGCCGCAGGCTTTATTCTGCCTGTGGCCCGGACATTCCCTACCCCGGCCTACAGGACCGGGAGTGGACTACATTAATGCCATTTCTCTCTCTCTCTCTTTTTTTTTTTTCCTGGCTGGGAAGGGAAGGCACCCCTGTACTTTCTCTTTAATGGGAAGAGAAATTCAACATTTCTTTTCTTTATTGAGGTTTTTCTTGTGACTAGTATTATTGAGTTTTGTAAATGTTCTATATACACTTGAAAAGACCCCCACACTGTAATCACGGAATTGAATTCCTGCCAGACATCAATTATGTGTATTTAGATAGACTCTGAGTTTTTCTTCTTACGTCTCTTTGATAATGGTGTTTTAACATCACCTTCTACAATGACTGTTCCTTCCCGTGTTTTTAATAATGTTTGATTTCTGTATCTTGTCTGTTTCTTTGGCAACATAGATTTGTATCTGCATGGCTTCATTGTTAGTGGTGGTTGTTACCATTATGTAATGTTCCCTTTATCTTCAAAAATACCTTTTTTTCCTTGCCTTGCATTTACATTTGTCTAGCATTAATATTTCTTATCCCTGCTTACCTTCTGTTTTGAGTTTGATTAAGACATTTTCCTCAGCCTTCCCATGTTTCTGATCTTAAAAGTAATACATGCGCTTTGTAGGAAAATTTGAATGTATCAAAAAGCGCATCTAATTGAAAAAAACACACCAAATACTGTGAGACTAGCCAGCAGCAACTGCTCATTTGTCCACCCTCTTTTTAATGCACATTTGACAAAGTTACGATCCTATAGTAAAAAGAAGTTAATGTTCTCGTTTTCCCCCTGAACGTTGAAGCACATTTCCCTTTTTATTAAAAATGCTCTGGGAACATCATTTTAATGAAGGTAGAATGGTCTGTTCTCAGGCTGGTCAACACTGGCGCAGGTGGAAACAATAGCGCCTCACTTCCATATGTTATCACATCCATTCAAGATAAAAGACTTTTTCAGAAAAAAAAAGAGAAGGAGGAGGACGATGAGCAGGAGGAGGAGAAGGAGAAGAAGGTAGGTTCAAGGAATGTCTCAGCATTGGGACACTGGATAGTTCCTCCACTGTGTATGTTCTGATGATCCTCAAATCCATCCCCCCAGCCCAGAGCAACTCAGCCTCTCCCCCAAGCTCCACACCTGTATCCTCCGTCTCCTAGGTGGCGGCTCAGGGTCCCTCTGAAACCCTATGCTCACTGGGTCCAATGACTCACCATCTTCCTATCAGTCTCAGAAAACTGATTCTCATCATTTACTTCCTGTCTCATTGAAGAGCTTCACCTTTTTCTCAGTTATCTCGTCATCAAAGCCGGGAAGTCTTTGCACGCTCTTCCTCGTCCCTTTCCCAGTAGCATCTGGTTAGTTACTGTTGAGCGGGGTCCTACTTGGCCATATTCCAAACCACTGGCTTTTTGTTCAGGCCCTCAGCATTTTTTTGCCTTGAAATTTGTTTGAGGGGTTAAGGGCACACAGATTTATGATTATTAGAATTCTTGACACACCCCATAGCTTTTGTTTACTATCCCTTGTTTTAATTGAGATATAATTCACAAAACATAAAATATACCACTATGTGGCTTTCAGTATATTCACTATGTTTTGCAACTATTGCCACTAATTCCAGAATATTTTCCCAACGGAAGCCCTGAATCTCTTAGCAATCTCTCCCAATTGCTTGGGCAACCATTGAAATACTTTCTGTCTCTAT